GATTCATCGAAGTATTTAATGATATCTATTATAGAAATGATTTAAAATTTTTTTATTTGTGATGTCTAAACCGGCTGATTCTGCTGGTTTTTTGATTCATTTGCTAACCTTCCTCTTATCCGGAAAGGATTGGAACTCCCTTCTTTTTGAATTTCTCGCTTTTCGTGCCTCCACAAATATTGGACCGGAAAAAGGGCCAATTATTGCTCTATTGAAATTCTTCATTAATTTGTTTCTTGATTTGTTTCGCCTTAACGTTCCATATGGTTTCCACAATATCTCCTCCATAATTCTCTCCATCACATTTCCGCATATTGAAAGTCCAATTTTTCAAAATAGTTGTTATCATTTCAGTAGGAATCGAATCATTCAGTACGTAGTTTCTCTCACTACAAAATGTAAGGAACTGTTTCCATACATACTTTTCCTACTGTATTATGAGGCTCATTGTTTTGAACACACTCGTCTATCACTTCCAACGGTGAAGCTCCGAATCGACTCAAGGATTAATAAATTAATAATAACGTCAAAATTCACGAAGTGGAAATAATTAGTTACTGTCTGTATAATCACCACGTATAATCGAAATCATACGAGGTAGCCTCACTCAATCGAACGTTCTGATTGGTTTAAAATCATACGAAGAAAATAATCATCACTATATGGTTTCTATTAGTGTCATTCGATAGTATACGTCGAGCTATCTCAGGTTTCGAAATATTTGCACTGATTTCAATGCCAATTTCCATATGGAGTCTGTGTTATGAACGAAAAATGAACGAACTGATTCTTTGTGGCATTGAGTCTGGAAATATATTCAACTTTTATATTCGGTTACAGCACGATGATACTCGTATCTCGACGAAGTAGGTATGCTGCCCCTCTTGTGGGAATGATACCCACAGTGTAATTTCCGTCTAATTCTGAATTTCCTCGAAACTCGGAGCACTATATCACAAGATACAACTGGTGGAATCTTGATAAACTTCGAAATATCAAGTACAATCCAGATGGCAGTTATTCAAATGTTTACGAAACTAGTTAGAATAATTATCTTAGAAGACATGCAACTTCAGTTTCGTTGAATATACGAGAGGAGCTGCTTTGTTGCTTTCTTGAAGTTTATAATTGCGTAATGTCCTCTCAGTTCATCGTAAGTTGGTTGAATTTGTAGCAATAATAATTTGTAGTTGAATATACGACGATTTTGAGGAGAATCATACAGGAAGAACTCGAATCATATTGCCATCAGTATCAACTTCTTTCTAAATTTTATATTGTTTTATTTGAGAAACATTTATCAACTTCCAATATGTAAGGTGAAACATTACGACACTGATTTCAGTTTCGTAATGAGAAATTTCACCGCACTGAGTGTTGTAAAGTGTAACTTCACCGCTCTAGTATGCGGTAAAGTGAAAATTGATTTCATATTTAATTTTTTCACTCAAACAAAAATGAATGAATTGCTTCATTCGCGGCAATTTCTATTTATGAATCAATACTTCCTATATTTCGATTCATGTCGATATTTTTTTTTTCTACAAGCGTGCGTGATTCACCCTATACCAGCACGCAGTTTAGTTCGGGAAGTGTCATTTTCTGATCAAAAACTTCCAGCTATAGGGATGCGATACAGATGCGTCATTGCCAACGAAGTTTTCAGGAAGGTATGAAAAGGTATACACGCGTTATATTGAATGGTGCAACAATAAAGAAATGAAAATACCGAATAGAGAAGACGAATTTTTGGCTCATTTCTTCGAAGTGTCTGAAACCTACAGACCAAACACTATGGGCCTGCTGGCTTCCGCAATGAACCTATACATGATGCGTCAAACTGTAAGTTCACAATATAGCTATTACTAATTATCAGTAGATAGAGAATATATTCCTCTTGTTAGTTGTTTTTATATGAATGAACATTTAATTGAACGAATCAATCAATTTCCTACGCTTGAAAAAAAATATTGTTCCTAACTCATGTGGAAAGTGTCTTTCCGCACTTGTTACGAAAATTACAAGTTCTTTACTCATGCGGAAAGTTTCTTTCCCGTATTCGACTGCTTGCAAGAACTCCGCATCGCGTCGTTCGTGTCAACGGCAGTCGCGTGCAGAAAAGAATCACTTTCCACACTTGTTACGAGAATGGGCGACAATCGAGAACACAATTGATCCACGACAAATATATGTATACGGCCAACCCATGCGACACTTTCTTGTTACATATTCCTAATAAATCGTTGATTCAAGGAATTTTCACTATTTTTGATCAAATAATAATAGCCCCTGGTAGTAGAAGAAATATTGTTTCATGTTGGTGTCATAAATTCGAATAACGATAATATAAATGATAAATATAACTTCCACATCTCATTTGGTGATATATACGTCTTCAAAATGACCCCTTCAAGATTCTTTAGCTCATTGAAATTTATTTTGTCGAAACTAACGAATCTATCGATAGTTCACTTAATTTGACTCGAATTATGTTGAACTTTGAAGACTATTATTTCCTTGTATGCGAAATGGATTTAGAATTACGAGTTCAACAAAAATGTCTTAAAATTGGAGCTTAATATTTCAAAACATAATAATAAACAATCTGTCGAATAGGATCTGCGCTCGTGAAAAGTAAGTACATCAATTCATATTTTCCTGCTCTTTCCAAATATCGAAACATATCCACATGATTTTGCGTCACAGAGTGTTTTTTTTGAAATACTTGAGAGAAGTTATTTGCTTTTCCTTGAGACAAACCTGGATTCTGATTTCGATTTCTATCTTATTGGTGTGATGAGTGGAATTTTCTTACCTAGTATGAAGATATTATTCAGCGCACCATCAACAGCATATGATATAATTTTGATAATAATAATAATAGAAAAAATCATTCACCAATGGTAATAAGAACATGATAAATTTGAATCAGAGTAGTTAATGAATTAATGATCCACTAAAGAGAATACCCTTGAAAGTGGTAATTTTAATTTTAATTAATTAATCATCATTATAATGATACTTCAATCAATATCACTGTTGTGAATAAAAATGCCACCTCCTATTTTGATGTTGCTCGATGCTGTCGAAAGTCGAATGATTTATCCGCATCCATCTAGTGTCTTTGAATGTCGAGTTGAATGTTTATTATATTATGTTTTTCATGTTTTATTAATTGTAAGTTTTCTCACTTGAAGGAGACTAAACACTGAGAAAAATTGTGCAATTAGAGTTTTTGCTGAGATATTTCTTGCTACCACTACAAGAAATCATATTACCGTTATACATTGTCGAATAGAAGCAGCACCTTCGAATCCTTTGATAGCAATAACGACTCTGCTGAAAGTGAATTTCCTGCCACAGGAAGGTATACTGCTGTAGCTATCAGGCAGCCACTCTGGGACAGCATGATTTTTTTTATAATTGTCTAGCTGAACTACTACTAGTGAGTTATATGCTTGTGGCTGTGAGGTTCATCGCATAGAACTGCACTCACTTCCAATAATACAACTGTCAGTCTGCCACGAAAATAATATTTGACGAACCAACTTGGGGTTATTTAGCGCCTACTCATCGTTTTTCAATATTTCGCTTATTTGTCCTCCTCTCTGTAAACATTCGTCAGACATCTTGATCAATCATTCACAGTTGGTCTCTTGATGCAAACCCATGTACAGGACGACAATCTCGACGACACGACAGTTACGAATACTTCCCCTCTTGAATTCAATTCATTATTCAAAATCCGAATCTGAATTCAAATATAAAATGGAAACATTTTCAAACGAATGAAAATATCTTTTGTGTCCCTCATTTCAGTGCTTTCGTAGATCTGAGTGCTTCAGTTATTATACCAGGATTGATGGAATGATGAAGGTGAGTTGTTTCGAGGTATTTCGTCTGAAATTTGAATATATTACATTCAATAACATTTTCCTCTCTTTGGTATCATAAAACTTCAAAATGGTCAAATATATTTCAGAGCAACTCTATAGAATCTGGTCTGAAAACTTATTGTGAGCAAAAATGTCCAGGTGATGAAATTATTTGAATGATTTCACTAGTAACATTTTGTTTTCCTGTACGCATCTGTAATAACTTGCCTAGTTTTCGAAATACAATGGTTTCAAAAGGTTTCAGAAAAATTATTTTTTCCATCAATCACTCAAAAAACGCTTTGGTTTTTCGTTTTTCCTGAGGGTGCATGAATCAATTGATCTATTGAATTTCAAAGATCATTGGTCCGAAATTTTCTTTATTAGTAATCAATAAATTGCTATTCATACCAAACATCAGGGTGGAAATTATGGGAAGTGAAAGTGGATATCAGTCAGAATTTCACCTTTCTTGATGACAACAATCCTGGAATATAACTGAATAACTATACAGTAAGAAGATCATGCAACTATCTAAATGATCACCCATCAATAGTAGCAAAGTTCCCTACCTACGATTATAACATTGCCCTACTCCCATTATTAGATGCACTCACTCTCACTAGCGGTAGCAAAGTCAGATACCTACTACAAAAACATCGTCTAATAGCATCATACAGATGCACTCGCTAGTGACAGCAAGGTTCTTTATCTAATAATCGCAGGTGGGTTATAATCAGCAAAGTCGCCTTTATAATCACAGGTGATAACTCGCTTGTCCCCTATGCTATTAGGGTTTCTTGCTGGGATAATTCGATTTCTGACTATGGTTATTAGAAATTTTCCCCAGTGAGGAATTCGAGTGTGTCGTAGAATGAATTTGAGATAGGAAGAGCATCTTATGTTAAAGTGAATATTCATCAGATTCATTCGGCATTGCAGATCCTGACACCAGAAATCCCATGCAGCGGCCAATTTTCTAATTGTTCTGTAGCGCTTCGATAGTTTAAATCTTGATGATTATCACAATTCTACATGTACTATCTCGAATAGAAGATTAACACACCGTTATTTCCACTTTCACATAAATCAGTCTTTGTGCATCTTGAAGAACGTATGACTCACCAACAACAGTTAGAAATACGAAGTGTCCTATTGGTGGTGTAGTACTGATTTGACACTCGTAGATGCCGCTGTCCCTCTTCTGAGGATATCTTATTCTTAGAGTCCAGTCTTCAGTATGTGGTGTATGCACTGCTTCGAATCTCTGATCAGACGTATATGTATATCTACCTACAGTGAGAAGATGGATGTCTCGATGACGAACCCAGGATACCTGAAACAAATTGATATCATATATCATTCAATAGCATAAAAATAATATGGGAGACTGCTTGATTTATAGTTTCCCTGCAGTTAATGGATCCACATCATCTTCACATACATTTTTCAACGGTTCCAAATCATGTAGTGAATCTACATATTGAGTATCGTCATGAATGGGAGCTTCGTATATATAAGTAACAAGGAATAGGTGACATTTTGCCACAAATGTGACTTTATTTTTCCGACTTCTCTACGTTTAGTAAGGACAAATCAGATGATTTGCCTCGAAATGTCACTGCGTTGAAATAATTTTCCCATCAGAGAGCTCATGGAAAAAAATCACTAGCTTGTCAGCTTGTCAATTTGTATTGAAAATGGTTTGAAGAAGAGAGATTAAGGTATGTAAAAAAAATATCAAATTTTGACAATTGTCACTGGGAACTGAAAAGTTTCAAGACAGATTCTAATTCAAATAACCATCTTTTATGTTGAAAACGAACGGAAGCAGATTCGGTCCCGAAACGTCCAAGGTATAAAGGTTCCTTCATTTCTCTTCTCCATACCTTCTTCAATACATATTGTCACTGACAAGCTAGTGAATTTTTTTTTTAGGCTCTTTGATAGGAAAATTATCTAAACACAGTGCAATTTTTTAGCGACTCATCTGATTTGTCCTCAATACACGTATATTGAAATAATATCCATATTCGAATTCAATTGAAACGAGAAGAGAAAATTCCAAATTTGGAACAATGAATGTACCACCTTTTCGATTCACCAACAAACAGTATTCGAATGTGACTTTATTTACCCATGATTATTGGGATTTGCTGAGGGTTGATACTCAATAACAGGGGGTACAGATTGAGCTGAAGAAATTTATTCGTCAGCTATTCGGCATGAAAGTCAAGTTTTCTTACGTGGATCATGCTCGATCACCTCAAAGGTTCATTTCATTGAAAATGATATGTCACGACCAAGGACAGTTGATATGCTGAGGAATGTAATGAACTTGATAAATTGGAACATTGGAATTATAATAGTAGTAGTAATATCTGATACTGATTTGGGATATTTTATTTCGTGACGATATTGATGTCATGCTGAATGATTCTCAGAGACTTTTCTCAAACTTTCCTGAGGAATCAGCATTATTCAAGGCATTTCTCTCAAGGAAATTAATAATCATTATTGAACTCAAGTGAATGAATTCCACTTAGGTGAATGATTGAGAACTGACAATAATTTCAACGATATGCAGTATACACACGTAGATACCGATGCATATGTACACCGATTACTATTAGCTATTTCAGCCTCAATGCTCAAAGTGAAATGGAATGTTGAGTGAATAAAAAAAGCCCAAAGTCCTTTCCACACATTGTTCATGAAATGAACAACAATGGGATGAGAATTTTTCCACTGTCCTCGAAATTTTCCCAGGCCATAGTGCCACCACCCCGTGGAAAAATTCCTATCCTTTTGATTTTGCTGCTGTTCCGCACTGCGCTCATTAATTGGATTTCAATTCCTTTGATGTTGTCGCCTTAACGCAAGGAACTAATCAATTGATTTTTCGTGCATTCAAATTGAAATGCCAGTTATTCGGAATTTGTCTGGCCATCTGAGACCCCACCTGAGCGACACCGGGTTGATATAGAAATGCATATCATCTCACTATGAAATTTGACAGAAGTTATATCAAAATGATTATCTTTCAATTTTTATAATATCATCGTATTAAATTGAAATGATATAGTCATTTGAGCCCTATATGAACGTCATCTCATTCTCATATGGGTGTTATTTCACAATTAAATGATTTTTTCTTCAATGATGAACCTGATCAAAGAGAAAAGAAAAATATGCTGACGCCTATTCAATTCAAATATCTTTCAAGGGTTATGAAATTTTGTTTTATAACGGCTTATAGATATTTCTCTCGGTGTTCTTATACTTTTTTGACGTTTGTAGGAAAAAACATTATATATGCAGCTCGTGGTGAGATACTCTGTTGCTCCCCGTTGAAAAAAAAACTTCTTGATCACCAACGTAGTATTTTGCCAATTGATACAGAAATCAATAATCAGAATTATGTTACTATCATATCACTTCTACATATGCTACAGATAAACATAAGTTTCGCTGTCATGTGCTGATCAGAAATGGTCATCGACTGAGAAAACATGTTGAAAGATTTTTAAGAAACGATATATTATATAAATCAGTTTATATGGTAGTATCTGCGATATTCATTAGGTGCAAGTATTCAGAATCATTTTAATTACATTCGTAGGTATTTGATTCCATATCGAAATCACTATCACTTCCCAGGTAACAAGCTGACGTCATTTTGACGTACCTAATATGACGTTATATTGACGTCCTCGATATGCCGACAATATGAAATCATCTGATGATCATTATCATGACTAATCATTACCATTATTTATTGAGCAATCAACATCGAAGAAAATTCATAATCATAAAGTTTTCCATCTCCTACATATGAATACGTTTGTAGTTATGTTATATTACATATATTATTATGTCACTCATCATATATTATGCTTTATAATAACTTTTTCTCTTATCTGTGCGAGATTTGTGTTTTCGATGGTCTCTGATAATTGTCAATTATATACCTTCCGTGCAGAGTATTCTCCCTATAGCTATTTAAATCATCAGACCGAATTTCACGTCATAAAAATCTTATAACATTGTTATTTCGCAATTCGAATTCAAATCAGAGCGGGAGAGTGAGAAGAAAACTGTACTTGATTGGTCGGCACCTCGTCGGCACGGACCTTGCGCAGACATGCGAACGTCGACCGCCAGCGCCAAGCCAAGCCAAGCGGCCAAGCGCCAAGCAGTTGCCGGTTGCGAATCGCCGTTCACTTTCGCTTCGCCGTTGCCGCCATGATGACCATAACAACAAAATAACAATATATAGAAGGCCATCATTATCATGTTATTTGGCTATCTATGTGGTCTGGTGTGGTGGTCATACTTATTCATAATCATGTATCAAGTAGTAGAATTTGAGGATGGCAGCTTGGCCATCATTTTAGAGAAGTGGTATACGCCCAAAAAGCAAAACGTGAATTGGCCGCCATTGAAGGAGTATCATAGGGCTCTGAGAAATCTCTCGAGTGCATAATCCGAATGGGATAAGTTCTAAATAGAAAGAAAATTTGATGGAACTGGTGATTATAGTACCCACCTATAATATTATTTCCTATTTAAAGTGGTTATAAAGGAACATCAACATAATTCTTCAAAAAAAATCTGATCTTTTCTGATGATATTGATACAAACCTGATATAACAGTGTTTTTTTTACCTACAGAAAATTTCGAAACAGCACAAAATAAACTGGAACGTGCAGAAGATTTTAGTGATATGGATAATCGTAAGGATTACGTCATTTTGACGCCATAAGGATGTCGGTATTTTGACGCCTATAGGGTGACGTCATTTTGACGACATGAAAATGACGTAATTTGTCTTTGACTTTGAAAGTCATATAAACATCACTATGACGTCATTTTGGAAGTCATCTTGATGTCAGGCCTGACGTGATAATGACGTACGAATAACGTCAGCTTGTTACCTGGGTTATATTCTCACTTATGTTTTTTTTCAATCACAATTTCATCTGGAATATTTATACAGCGTTATACTTAGGTGGAAAATTCAACCTCTAAAATTTCATTGTATACGCCGAATAAGCACGCTCAATGTTCCTTTCCGGTTCTATAACATTTTATCATGACATAAGATTATATCATTGGAGTTCATCAATTCTTCGATTCATCAACATTTATTGATGATCCAGTTATTAGATGAATATTGTGCTCATATATCTCTCCGAGTATCTATTTATAAACACCTACCGTCCTTCATCCACCCCATCATGATCGTGTTCAAAAATCTTCAGGAGTCGAATCTTGTGCAGAGTTAGGGAAAGTAGAACCTACAGCTTAAGTAAATTGCGAACTACTTCTAGAATACTGGGGTGCTGCTAGAAATACAAGCACAAAATTCCAAACCAAATGTCCACCTGAGTCAAATCAGAACCGACAACTCCTTCGCATCGTAAACTGCTATCTTGCGAATACGAGCAAACAATGCGCCGCAAACTCCTTCCCTCAGTCAAACTATGATACATATACAGAAAGCAAAAAATCCCAAACAAAATGTCCACCTAAGTCATATTAGAACCGACAACTCCTTCGCATCGTAAACTGCTATCTTGCGAATTATAGCGGACAACGCGCCGCAATCTCCTCCCCTCAGTATACCTTCCAGTAGTCGCGCCTTAAAAAGGACATAGGCTGGTGGTTTGAACATGGTGACTTGAATTTTTCCGAAGATTTCATCAGTATGCCTTTGGACATGAATATCTCTACGAAGTGAAATTTCAAAATAGCAATAAAATATATTTGTTCAATAACAAAACCCAAGATTACCATAGGACAACTATCGAAGATTTGATGAATAGAATTCGAACAAAAACACTTTAATTTGAGGACAACCTGGAAATATTTCAATCTAAAACCACCAATGATTCATCGGCAATCTCCGCAAATGAATAAAGCTGGTTCTAATACGCAAATGAATTCTTCACATGTACTACAATAAAATTGGGTGTGTATTCTTTTATATCACAATAGCATCGATCATGTGTGACAAAATTTTTGCCTAAAACGCCCAAAATAGCTGCAAAGTGTGACTGCAATATGCAATATAACTAAGACGTCTAAGGTCGCTGCGGAGTACGACTCCGCACTACGCTATAAAATCCGAAAACGAAGCAATTTTGCACATCGGTAATACTCGATACGTACTGAAGTCGTAATTTTAGGAAGGTACTGAGTGCGGCGGAATGAGGGAATGAAGTATATTCAAGAAAACTCACGTTTTATATTCGTGCGGAGTGATACTCCGCGTGCGACTACTGGAAGGTTAACCTTCCAGTAGTCGCGCCTTCAAAAGGACATAGGCTGTC